GCTGATGAGAGCTTCTGGTCCAATCAATGGAGAGGAAAAGTTATTGAGTGCAGAGGGCCTACATTCAAAGACTCTGTTCAGGCGGTCGATGACGTCAATGGGTGGTGTAAATGACGTCACCCACTGACGTCATTAACATTGAAGGATCCTTGAATTAGTATCCCAACTAAGGATGACGTCACCAGCGACCAGCTGAGCCAATCAGAAGCAGGTGACCGCCCACTGCCCATTAACTACAGAGATTGAATACTTAGTTGCTTTTTTCTTTTTAATTATTAAACACTTTGAACAATTTTACAAGATCACGTGTCATGCACTTAAGTAATAAAATCTTATAGGCTAAAGACACACACATCATTTTAAGACAATAACATCATAAAAAAATTGTTCAATAAAAATAAATGAATAAAATGTGGAATACTTTCCATTTTGGTAAAAGGAGAATTTAAGGTTCTCCACACATAAGGTCACATATAAAATACATACTTATATAATGTATAAGTTATTAATGACTTATTTTAACTGAGATGAGTCGCTTTGAAAATAATTCAACTTCAAGACTAAAAAGGAACCAACTAAGTATTCAAATGCTATAGTTAATGAGCAGTGGGCGGTCGCCTGCTCCTGATTGGCTCAGCTGTTCACTGGTCACGTTTTCCTTGAATGGAAAACTCCAACCCAGAATTAACGTCACCGATTGGCGTCATTGACCGCCTGAACAGAGTCTTTGAATGTAGACCCTCTGCGCTCATTTGGTCACTAACCATTTGCTTTGTCTTTCAGGTAAAAACTTAAAAAAACACTAAAAACCTTAAAGATAGGATAGGTTTTTAAACTTGTGTTTTTAAGGCAGCAATTGTACTCAAGTTTTTAAGTTTAACCACCCTAATTATTTTTACAGTGCAGAATCAACGTCACCGATTGGCGTCATTGACCGCCTGAACAGAGTCTTTGAATGTAGACCCTCTGCGCTCATTTGGTCACTAACCATTTGCTTTGTCTTTCAGGTAAAAACTTAAAAAAACACTAAAAACCTTAAAGATAGGATAGGTTATCCTTTCTTAAATGATCAAGCATCGATATGCAGGATCAACAGATCATGTTTAGTCCGGGTCTTTATTTACAGTCATGTATGTAAAGGAGGATGATATTTGCTCCCTTGACTCTGGTTCTGATCCGCTGCTCCCTAAACAACCGGACACTTTTTATACTTTTTCTTCTTCCTCCCAGCATCTAAACGTTGCTTTCTACTGCAGTATTTTTCAACCTTTTTTGAGCCTACACAGCAAAAAGTCCAGTGTTAATTTAACTCCCACAGAGTTGATTTTAACACTTTTTCAGTGCTTATATAGTCCACTCTCATCAAGAGTTAAATTAACACTTTCAATATAGTTAAAATTTTAACACTTTATCAGAGTTACTTATTTAACTCACAAAACAGGGTTAATTTAACACTGTGGGATATACTGGATAACACTGATCCAGGAACAAAAATGTACCACTTTATTAGTGTTGATTTAACACTTTCAAGTGTTATTTATTCCAAAAAAAGTTACTTTATGATTATGATTAATTATAATAATTAAGAAAAAAAAACTTGACACAAGTACATACATTTTGAACACTTTATTTTTGCAGCTGTGTTCCCAACATTTTAAATTGTGGTACAATGATCACACATTCATTAGAAATGCCATAAGAGTTTTGAATATCAAAAAAAATTTAAGTTCAGGGATTTTTACTAAATGCCTTTCTTCACTTTGAACAATTTTGAAAGCATGATGATGATCAAATGTGTCCGCTTGGATACAGTTTTTGACACATAAAAACAGGTCAACATTTTTTAGCCTGACTTACTCACAAGAGAGCCCAATGGACTGGTTTAGCAGCCTTGCTCTCACGTCCCTAACTCTGGGCGATTCCTTCATTTTGCCCACGTCAATGTTATACACTGTTGTCTGCAGAAATGTGTAGAAATTCATCAATGCAGCATCATAAGAGAAATTAAACACAAAATTAGATATATAGATATATAGATATATAAATATCTATGTCTAGACATAGATATCCACATCGATAGATTGACGTGGATAACTATGTCTTGATAGATATTCACGTCTATCGATCACATATCTCTTGACAGACAGATGACAGAAAGACGTGCATATCGATCTCTAGATATCTATCTATAGCTACATCTAATTTGTATTTGATGGGTATTGTCCACGTTCCCTGCAAAGGAAAATCATTCGTGACGCAATGACTGCTGAGGGCCTACATTCAAAGGCTCTGGTTCAGTCGATCAATGACGTCAATCTGTGACGTATGATGCGGGCTTCAAGTGTGCTATGGCAAGCCGTTTTCACATAAATTGCGTTCCCTCTGATTAACCGTAATTACTTTCTAGATTTCGAAAAATACATTTTGACTTGACAAAACTACATTTTGACTCCGGAATGATAATTTAAGATATCTGCATTTACATTCTGACTAGTAATAATAATTCAGGATATCTTCAATTACATTTTGACTGGTCAAAATTCCTTGCAAGATATCTCAAATGACGTCACTTGTTCTGTAACTTGACGAGACACGTAACCGGAATTACGATTTAAGATTTCTTGAACGTAATTATCACTGTCAAAATTACAATTTTAGATATCTGAATTCTGAATGAGGTGAAAGCCCCTTTGTGCTGTCCGAATAGTTGCCTGCAGAATTTTATATTTTCAGTAAATGCCACAAATAAATCTCACGTCATTTGGACTGGTTAGAATGTAATTATCTCAAATAGGTATTTTGTCCAGTCAAATTTTAATTAGAGATATCTTAAATTGCTAAAACGTCTGGTCATAAAACAATTTGAGATATCTGGAATGTAAGAGCAGTGAAACCGACTTTATATCAAAAAGGCTTGCCATACGCAGAAGGGCGACAGGTCTTTGACGTCAATCTGTGACGTATGATTAAGGAATGATCATCTGTGAAGCACAATGCATATCTGTGACCATCTTTGGACGTTGGATCTATAGGTCCTGCTAAATCTGTGTGGACCATTGCTAGTGGTTCTTTAGCTCTTGCATCTGGCTCCTTGTTAGTTTGAACAAATTTTCCTTTCGTGCAGACTTCACGATATGGCATTGGTTCACCTCTCCTTTAATTTCCATGCCATGCACAACATTTTCTAGCTTCAGTACATCTCTGTAATTGCAATGTCCAAGAATCTCACGCCAACCTTGTAAGTCATAACATTTTTTACACTGAGCTCCACATCCATTGTCCGTCGTTTGGAAGTAATGAAGAATGAAGAATGTTCTGTCGTTAGTCATTTCAACTTATGGTTTCATATTTAAGCAACAAATTATAAGCAATTGGGCTACTTTTCTAGCTTGCCAACCTAAGTTGGAAAAATACATAATTTCAAGTTGTGCTAACTTGTGTTTTTAAGGCAGCAATTGTACTCAAGTTTTTAAGTTTAACCACCCTAATTATTTTTACAGTGCAGAATCAACGTCACCGATTGGCGTCATTGACCGCCTGAACAGAGTCTTTGAATGTAGACCCTCTGCGCTCATTTGGTCACTAACCATTTGCTTTGTCTTTCAGGTAAAAACTTAAAAAAACACTAAAAACCTTAAAGATAGGATAGGTTATCCTTTCTTAAATGATCAAGCATCGATATGCAGGATCAACAGATCATGTTTAGTCCGGGTCTTTATTTACAGTCATGTATGTAAAGGAGGATGATATTTGCTCCCTTGACTCTGGTTCTGATCCGCTGCTCCCTAAACAACCGGACACTTTTATACTTTTTCTTCTTCCTCCCAGCATCTAAACGTTGCTTTCTACTGCAGTATTTTTCAACCTTTTTTGAGCCTACACAGCAAAAAGTCCAGTGTTAATTTAACTCCCACAGAGTTGATTTTAACACTTTTTCAGTGCTTATATAGTCCACTCTCATCAAGAGTTAAATTAACACTTTCAATATAGTTAAAATTTTAACACTTTATCAGAGTTACTTATTTAACTCACAAAACAGGGTTAATTTAACACTGTGGGATATACTGGATAACACTGATCCAGGAACAAAAATGTACCACTTTATTAGTGTTGATTTAACACTTTCAAGTGTTATTCATTCCAAAAAAGTTACTTTATGATTATGATTAATTATAATAATTATTAAGAAAAAAAACTTGACACAAGTACATACATTTTGAACACTTTATTTTTGCAGCTGTGTTTCCAACATTTTAAATTGTGGTACAATGATCACACATTCATTAGAAATGCCATAAGAGTTTTGAATATCAAAAGAAATTTAAGTTCAGGGATTTTTACTAAATGCCTTTCTTCACTTTGAACAATTTTGAAAGCATGATGATGATCAAATGTGTCCGCTTGGATACAGTTTTTGACACATAAAAACAGGTCAACATTTTTTAGCCTGACTTACTCACAAGAGAGCCCAATGGACTGGTTTAGCAGCCTTGCTCTCACGTCCCTAACTCTGGGCGATTCCTTCATTTTGCCCACGTCAATGTTATACACTGTTGTCTGCAGAAATGTGTAGAAATTCATCAATGCAGCATCATAAGAGAAATTAAACACAAAATGTGCTTTGAATAGCTCATCAAATGTTCCAAGAGAACTGTTTGTCTGGCATGGGATGAGGCACTTATCCATGACGATGTAGAAGCTGTCAATCTTGCTTTTCTGACGCCCAACAGCAAGGAGGTATGGCTGCAGACCCCGTTGACCCCGATGATGCTCCTCTAAACTGCAGCATGACTAAAATTAAAAAGATATACACCAAACATTAGAAACAAAACATACAGCTTTACGATACATGTGACATAAAAATTAATTTAAGTATGCCCAGACATCTTCAAAGCTGTCATTCAAACATCTGTATTTATGCATGTCTATAAAAGGAAATAGACAAATAATTTTGCATATTTTAAATTTCAATTACCTTATGAAAGACAACAAGTCTCTCTCTCTGCATCACTTGCACTGATTTTTGGAGACTTCTGTCCTTCTGGTTGCGGTGGAAGAAGATGTAAGAGAAGTAACAGCGAGGCCATTTCTTGGTCATAGCCTGAGGACAAATTTATAAAAGTTTTCAGCTATAATATCAGAACTTTATGAGTACTCTGAATAGTCAACTATCTTCAGATATATCTAGGTACTTACTAGATGTGTTAGTGAGGTCATCGCTTTGAAGACTTTCCGCTGACTGCACCAAACTTCTCAACTCAGGTGGAGAAGTGAAACGCTTAGCCTCCTTGATGACATTTGGTTTGAAGAACACATCCCACTTCTGCAGCAGTCTGGATGAGGTTTCTTCACTGAATAGGAGACGGGAGTCTTGATCAATCTTTAATAGCATGTAGAAATCAAACCATTATAACAATGTAAAAATCCACATTTAAAGACTTCAGTTGAACACTTACCAATCCTTTTGTGTCCAGGAACCCCGGGAATGTGGTCAGGATATCATTTCTTCCACTGGCATCTTTAATGAGCTTGTGATGGTGCTCAAAAGTCTCTCTCATCTTCTGAAAGATCACAGACCTGTCTGTGGTGTGGTTAAGCAGAGATATGGCCTCCTAAAAAAAAAGAACAAAAATTAAATGCAAAATTACAGTTTTGAGTCACAAAATAAAATTGATTGTAGAAAAAAACAAACAAACAAACAAACAAACAAAAAAAAAAACATTACATTGCCTTTTTTGGTGTATGGATCCTTGAGGGATGCGAAGAGTGTCACTATTCCAAAGCCATACTTGTCTCTGATTGCTTTTGTGGGGAGGTGCCTAACAGCAGATTTTAAATTGGTGATTAAACCTTTTTTTCAATTATTATACATAAATTAAATAGTGTAAAAACAAACATACCCTTGTTCATCAATCATGTGAGCCACCAGTATGTTCACCATTTGTCTTCTTGTGGCATCAGTTAGGGTTTCTGTAGTTTCATACTCCTGCAGAATTTCTTCACCACCAGACTTGCTTTGTAGGACACCTTCAACCAGCTATAAAATGAACAATAAAAAAAGAAAGAAAAAAAAAAAGGAAATATGCAATATGCAGATGACCAAAATACGACAAAACATGTCTGGACATACAAAACAGAATTTAGAGGCAGACAAAAAATATTGTTACATTTTTAGCAGACACTGAGTTATCAGGATTCTCAGTTTTTTGCTTCTTGCGTGGCATCTCATCCATTAGTATTGTTGATGTTGATGCATTTGAGTTGAAGCTTGAGTCAGAAGCAGATGACCATTCTGAGAACTCTGAAGAAAGAGACAATAGACATCAGTTACATTCTTTGGTAAAATCTGTATTTAATTTGCTTTGGTATCTCACCATCATAGCAGAAAACTGTCTGTACCACATTGCCTTGTCTAAGGAGGTCACTGAATATTTCTTCGTCAACTTCAGTATCTGTTGTATCTTTGTATGTAACTTTGGTATCAGGTGGCAGGCAAAATTGTTCAATGACTGAAAAAACAAGGCAAGATTTAGAGCCTAATTCTGTAATTAGCTGGATTTTTTAAAACTAAGTTACTTGATATTGATCATGTGATTAGCATAAAACATATTAATGAAAATACAATTTTTACTTACCACAAATGTGTAAAATATGTGTTAAATAGACATACATTGAAAAGAATAATGCCCATGACCCACACAGATGATAAATAAATAACAAACCTTTCTCATGAAACTGATTAAAGTCAAACAGCCCTTCGACCTCCTCCAACTTCACATACTTTTGCAGGTCACCAAACTTTACATGGATCAGCATTTTATTTCAGCATGGGATAAACCTAGACAAAGCAAAATAAGGTAAAGGTCAAGAGTTCACCTCACTGTAACTCTGCTATTGGTGTCACGTGACTTCGGCTCGTTGACGCTCCGCGGAAGCTAATAGTCGTTAGCTTACATTCACAAGGCCAAAATTATCATTTTAAACGGCAAAAACGTATAAGTATATTTTTACGAGTGTATGGTCTGACAAAATATGTTTTGTAAAAATTTTCCATTATAATAATATCAGGTGTAAGTGCTACTAGCTACCAGCTAACATGTTGTGTAAAACTGTTGCAAAATGGACATATTCAGCTGCTTTTCATTATGTGGTAATTAGTAGAAATAGTCAAATCACTCACTCTGTCAATGTAATAGTGCTGGACAAAATATTTAGTAAGTTGGACACTTACCGTGTAGAACAGGAGATGAAGAAAATGGAGCCGTGTTCAGATTGAAATCAAACTGAAGCAGAGGGGAGGAGCTTATTTATCTCCCAGCAGAGTTGATTCAACACCAACGCAATCAACTCTGCGAAATAACTCCAACACTGGGCATCAATTACATCGCTAAATGTTAAAAATACACTTACTGAGTTAAAATTAACTCTGACACGTTTAACCCTGAAATTTTAACACTCCAGTTTTTGCTGTGTAGGCACATTGTTTTCATTGAAAGAATCAAGAGGCACACCACCAGCCAAAAATCTAAACAAATGAAAATAATAATAAATAATAATAATAATAATATATGGTCGTTCTTATCAAAGTGTCTTGAATTTGAATTTGTATCATATTTTATATTAGATATTTCAATTTGCACTTAACATGTCTATGTTGCGTTTGTGTTTTCTTGATCTGCACTCATCATCACAATGAACCACACTTCTTTTCTTAGATAGCTGTGTTCTTTTATTTGTGGAACGGTCAGGCACAGAGAAAACTTTTCTTCGTCTAATTCTTTTTAGAACAGTGCTGCATATATATAAAATCTCGCTCTCACTGCCCCCAGTGGCCAACAACAGTACAACATGCACATAAACAGAATGACAGGATACAGAACATAAAGCTGTACCTTATGTAAGAGAGTTTATGTTGTAGAATCCCACTTGCTTTATATATTATCAGTGCAATGGGAAATAGCGCCTCCTCTCTGTGTGGCTGGTTATATGTTGCTGGCCTCTGTAATCAGTGGCAGTCTATGGAAGCTGCACGAGAGGTGAGTTTCATTCCTCAGCACACAGCACGGAAAAGTGTTAGAAAACATAAAGTATCATTCTTAAAAACTTACATCAATAGTGTGCAACTACTATTTATGATTTGTGTGCCTGGCATCAATTTTGCAATTTTAGTTTTGTTAATATTTTGTAAAACACTTTCTGTGCTAAGTTAAAGTCAACATGACGCTCTGTTGTAGTGTGCTGAGGGAAGCTGAACCATTGCATTGATTCCAACCCGATCTGTTCTCATTCAGGAAATAAACTGCCTGTTCACCCAGAACTCCTGGTCTTCATTAAAACATCTACACAACACAGAGTCGAGGGGTACTTGGGTCGGCCTGGTACAGTGGTGTGAAGCAGAACCCGGTTACACTTACAAAGGAAAATCAGTAAACATGAACATAACACAAGATAACTTAAAGACAGGTTAAGATGAGAACATTTTCCAACAGTCTACTTCAAAAGTGCGCCTGATCAGTGGCACAACAATTTAAATTTAAGACCACATTGTTCACACGACTAATTCTGACCACAAGCAATCTCTCAGCCAGAATATAGAAAATAATTCCTTTTCTGAGAGAAGCAATAATATTTAGAAAAGAAAAAGCTCACGGTATTTGCCTTCCGTTGATATTCACTCATGCTAAGTTCTTCATCTGGGTCTGAATTTAGCTTTTTTCTTTTCAAAACTTTTCCATCACTGTCATCACAGTCTTGCTTGGTACAATGCTCTCACCGCTTCCTGTCACATTCATGCATCACTAATTCTCTTATTTTAACGTACAGTGCTGTGTACCTACTGCCATCCTGTCATCAGGAAATTACATGATGACGCCGCTAGTCACTATACAACACAGACTCTCAGAAATGGCATATTATTTGCAGTCAATTTGTTTTCAAAAAATCGTTTTACACCAATTTAGTGAAATTGAATAATTTCCACGGGACACTAGTTGAAAAACACTGTTCTGCTGCAACGTGTAGATATGTATAAATATATATATTGAAAACATCATAGTAATTTTTTTATCCAGTCTTTGAATGTAGGTTATCTCCGATAATTTAGTCACTTTCTGTTTTCTTTCTCGTATCTATATTTGTATTTGCAATAAACTAAATATTCTACTATCGTATCTAATGCAGTTTATTAAATTGACCACTGCAGGAATTATGAACAGTCTTAAAATAAGCCGAAATAAATTTGACAACAATGTCAATATCACAGTCAAACTAAGAAAAAACGAACTCTGCCCAGATTTGAAAATATTTTACTTGGAATATAGAACCATAAATCCTTTTAATTTAAAAAAATACCGAAGCCAATTATTTTTAAAGTGTCGTTCGTTCAATCAAATTGAAAAGCTTGCAGTCGTCCATCTTCAAACTGATTACATTTTCTTATTAAGGGAGATTTATGTTTCCATAGAAAAATAATAATCTGTTGTTGGAATTAATTGCAGAAATGTGTATTCCTAATGTATGTGCAGTGTAGGTAAATCTGGAAATACTTTCCATTTTGGTGAAAATTATTCTACGCAGAATAGATAAATCTCTGCTATTACAGGCCCAACCTTTCCTAGGGGGCAGTAGAGAGCAACGTGTGGACGCTGCAGCGAGCAGAACCGATACGAGTTTGTTTCCAGAGTCCAGTGATCAAATATCATCCTCCTTTACATACATGACTGTAAATAATAATAATTTTCATTGATTCTTTCAATGAAAACAATGTGCCTAGGCTCAAAAAAGGTTGAAAAATACTGCAGTAGAAAGCAACGTTTAGATGCTGGGAGGAAGAAGAAAAAGTATAAAAGTGTCCGGTTGTTTAGGGAGCAGCGGATCAGAACCAGAGTCAAGGGCAAATATCATCCTCCTTTACATACATGACTGTAAATAAAGACCCGGACTAAACATGATCTGTTGATCCTGCATATCGATGCTTGATCATTTAAGAAAGGATAACCTATCCTATCTTTAAGGTTTTTAGTGTTTTTTAAGTTTTTACCTGAAAGACAAAGCAAATGGTTAGTGACCAAATGAGCGCAGAGGGTCTACATTCAAAGACTCTGTTCAGGCGGTCAATGACGCCAATCGGTGACGTTGATTCTGGGTTGGAGTTTTCCATTCAAGGAAAACGTGACCAGTGAACAGCTGAGCCAATCAGGAGCAGGCGACCGCCCACTGCTCATTAACTATAGCATTTGAATACTTAGTTGGTTCCTTTTTAGTCTTGAAGTTGAATTATTTTCAAAGTGACTCATCTCAGTTAAAATAAGTCATTAATAACTTATACATTATATAAGTATGTATTTTATATGTGACCGTATGTGTGGAGAACCTTAAATTCTCCTTTTACCAAAATGGAAAGTATTCCACATTTTATTCATTTATTTTTATTGAACAATTTTTTTATGATGTTATTGTCTTAAAATGATGTGTGTGTCTTTAGCCTGTAAGATTTTATTACTTAAGTGCATGACACGTGATCTTGTAAAATTGTTCAAAGTGTTTAATAATTAAAAAGAAAAAAAAAGCAACTAAGTATTCAATCGCTGTAGTTAATGAGCAGTAGGCGGTCACCTGCTTCTGATTGGCTCAGCTGGTCCTGGTGACGTCATCCTTAAATGGGATACTAATTCAAGTATCCTTCAATGTTAATGACGTCAGTGGGTGACGTCATTTACGTCACCCATTGACGTCATCGACCGCCTGAACAGAGTCTTTGAATGTAGGCCCTCTGCGCTCAATAACTTTTCCTCTCCATTGATTGGACCAGAAGCTCTCATCAGCCTCATCAGTGAGTTTCTTGTAAAAACTATGCAGTTCGCTTTAGCATTTTTACAAAACTGTACAAAAACTTCATTATAGTACAAAAGTGTTCATTATAGTATTTTTATAGTATTTAAATGTAAATTAGCTACCTACATTGCTAGTTCATATAATATATAGTTATAATACATAAAATACATACTTTTACTGCCAAAGTTTTAATTTATAGGTTTTATTTTGTATTATTTATACTTTTTAAGACTCTTATTTTGAAGGTTAAGGTAGGAAGTAGATGTAGAAGCGTCTGGTTACCAGGTTACCAGAGACGCTTGCGATATAACAGCATCGCGTTGGCAAGCAAATGAAGAAGCATGATTTAAGTGTAAGAATTTACTGAATGACCTCATTTCTACTCAAAAGGAAGGGTTAGCCAGCGAGGTATGTTTATATGTTTTACGTTATTTTTATATCGATATTGTATTCTTGACACCATCTCACTAAGTTTACGTGTTTTTAGTTCGACGGTGGTGTTGGTGTCAGGGAAACTGAAGCTGTAATAAGAACAACTTTAAAGAGTTTCATTAAAGCTGACTTCACACCAGCAGTGCGACGAACTCTTAATTGCCAAAAAGAAGAAGAGGTGGAAGTGATACATACTTATATATAAGTTATTAATGACTTATTTTAACTGAGATGAGTCACTTTGAAAATATTTCAACTTCAAGACTAAAAAGGAATCAACTAAGTATTCAAATGCGGGAGCGACAGAGAGTTTGCTTTCCGGGTGAGCGACGCTGACACGCGAGTGGACGACATCAAGAGGAGAGGTCTGATGGTGGACGCTGGTGCGACGTCGCATATAATCACCGACATCGGGAAGTTTCGGAAGCTTGATGAAAGTTTCCAGGCCGAGACGCACTGCGTGGAATTGGCTGATGGATCCAGGTGTTTTGGTGTTGCCAAGAAACGAGGAGACGCGTTAGGTCGACGTCTTAAAACAGTGCTGAGGAACAAATTGTACATCCCTTCATATCCGCAAGACATCTTCTCAGTGAAAGCTGCAACATCCAGCGGAGCAACGGTGATCTTCAAAGAAGAAAAGAACGTTCTTCTCAGAGACGATACCAAGTTCCCCATTCACGTAGGTAACACATTGTATTACTTCCAAACGACGGAC